AGCTTACAAAAAGTTTCTTAAGTCAGGATCGATATGCCACCAGTCAAACTTTCTTTATGTTCGCAACCAGTTTATTATTCTCAACGATCAACTCTATAAGCAGTATATCAGGAATTGTAAGGTAAACTTTCGAAATGATCCAAGCTCCTTCTACTCTTTTGTCAATATGAAACGTAAATCAAATCTTTTTCCTCCTTCCCTATCATATAAAAATATTTCACATTCTTCTGAGCAAGGTATTGCTAATCTCTTTGCGTCATTTTTTCAAACCACCTATTCGTCCGATTCATATAACCACAATTCTTCTTATCCTTATAAATTACCACATATAAACAACATTTACTTTTCAAAATTTCGAATTCAGGATCTGTTCGAAGTTCTTTCAACAATAGATATATCATTCTCTGCTGGTCCTGACAATGTTCCTAGCTGTGTTCTAAGGTACTGTTCTGATATCCTTTGCTATCCTCTCACTATCTTATTCAACTTATCCTTGGAGCTGGCATGTCTTCCCAAGAGATGGAATGAAACTTTTATTATTCCGCTTCATAAGAAAGGCTCTAAAACACTTATTGAGAACTACCGGGGATTGCTAAGCTATCTGCGATTCCCAAACTGCTTGAGAAACTGGTTACTTTCCAACTGCAACATTTTTGTCAAAAGCATTATTTCCACTTCACAGCATGGTTTTGTCAAGCATCGCTCTACCACAACTAACCTTCTTGAATTCACTTCGTTTATCCACAGAGGTTTTCTGAGCCGCATGCAAACTGATGTGGTGTACACTGACTTTAGTAAAGCGTTTGACTCTGTGAACCACCATCTCCTCCTTCATAAGCTGTGTCTTTTAGGGTTTTCTCCACATATAGTACAGTGGTTGACTCCTTATCTATCGAACCGCACGCAGCGTGTTTTGTTTAAAAACAGTTCATCACAGATTATAAATGTTTCATCTGGTGTCCCACAAGGTAGTCACTTAGGACCTCTTCTGTTTGTTCTTTTTGTCAACGATTTACCTAGTGTTGTAAACTATGCTACTACATTTATGTACGCTGATGATGTCAAGTTATGTCTTTCTTTCTCAGACCATTTTCTTCATAGGCACCTGCAACTAGACCTTAACGAAGTCTTCTTGTGGTGCTCAAACAATCTCCTTTTGCTTAACTGCTCTAAGTGTAAGGTTATGACGTTCAATAGCAGTGTGCCTCACATCGTTTCGTACTCTCTTGGGAATAACGTCTTAGATCGTGTTTTCCTTATTAACGATCTTGGAGTAATTTTTGACAATAAGTTGTCCTTCAACGACCACATATCACTAATAGTTAATAAAGCCAGAGGTGTGCTAGCTTTTATCAAACGTTAGTCTAAAGAATTTGATGATCCTTTTAAACTAAAACTCTATACGTATCGTTTGTTCGTCCTATCTTGGAATACTGTTCTATCGTTTGGAGTCCGCAATACTTTGTTCACCAAAGGAGGATTGAATCTGTCCAAAAGCAGTTTCTGCTATTTGCGTTATAAAGCTTAAACTGGGATCCTCCCCCTCCCCTTCCGTCGTATAATTGCCGGTTAAAACTACTAAACCCACCTTTAAAGGAGCGCCGTACTTGTGCTGGGGTTATGCTACTTCATGGCTTATTCTTTGACAGGTTGACTCACAAGTAATTCTTGAAAAATTAATGTTTTCTGTTCTTAATAGAGTAACTAGATCCTTCCGACCCCTTTGGTTACCGATTTCTAGGTCTAATTTTGCGGAACACGATCCACTTCGTGTTATTTGTAACAATTATAACTTATTGTCCCATTTATTCAGGGGATAAACTATCCCTAGATGTAATTAAATCCAAAATTATGGAATATCTTTTAACTTAATTTATCCTTACTTTTAGTTATAATAATCTAGAAATAACAGATCATTGTTAATAATAAATATTGAAAAAGCTTCAGATCCCAACGTATACGAAGTCATTAATAATGATGAAGTACGTAAAGAAGTGACCTTGCATGTAAATAACAAGATGTGTTTACTTAAGCGCGAAAAGAAAATTACAGCAAGATATGATGTTAGCGATTTGTATACTGATGAAACGCTTGACTTAGATCCGTTCTTCCAAAGGCTTGAAAAGCAGGCCGGTATTCACAAAATCAGCCAACTCTATGTGGCACCGTGAGAAAATATCTTTGAACATGTTTCAATTGATAATTTAAAAAATATGGACAGTTATATGCTGAAATCATTAAGAGTAGCGCTACTTTACCCGGTGACTGTAATAAAAAATAATAAAGATAAAGAAGCTATATTGTCTACATTCCATGATGATCCAATACAAGGTGGTCATACAGGCATTACAAAAACCTTGGCCAGGGTCCAGAGACACTATTACTGGACACAAATTATCAAAATTCCAATAAGTAAAAAAATAATAAAATAACAATAAGTAAAAAAAAAGGCTCATGGAGTATTCTCAACCGTATTTTGAGGCTCCTATTAAAATTGGCACCTAAATAGTGGCTAGATGTACACACATAATCCAAGATAGCTAAGATGGCTGCGAACTGGGCATAAAAGAGCTCAGTTTAAAATCGTAGTCCTCTGTTGTTTCCCCCCAAGTTGTAAGGGACACAGAGATTGAGAATTGCCACTTATTGCTCGTGCGTTTATTGTTTAGCGCAGGGCTGTCCAAGGCCTTACATCGGAATATTTATAAAAAATCTTTGGGCTGGAATTCAGCCATCGGATCTCCAAAGCGATACGGCGCAAGGAGTTAAAAACAAAACTTATGTAGGGAAATATCCTGATCACAGTTGTGGGAAATAAAAAATAAGATTTCAATTAAAAAACAAGAAAGGAAAGCTAACTTCGGGCGGAGCCGAAGTTTATATACCCTTGCAGTTAAAACCGGATATATATCGCAAACATCGGATATAGTTGGCCGATCCTTATGGCAATAGGAATATGTAATCCAATTTTTTACAATACAAAATCTAAAAAAAGTCCCAAACTTCTATCTTCAAAAATACGAAAGTTGATATTTCTACCAAGTACCATTTCCGATCGTTCAGTTATATGGCAGCTATAGGATATAGTCGGCCGATCCTAATGAAATTTGGTAGGTCGGATCAACTGACCAAATATATAATCTGTACCAAGTTCCAGCTTTCTATCTTCAAAAACACGACTTGGGTTAAAGTTGGGTCATTTCCGATCGTTCAGTTGTATGGCAGCTATAGGATATAGTCGGCCGATCCTTACGAAATTTAGCATGTCGTATTATTTTGCCAAAAATAGCTCTCACCTAAAATTTGAACTCTCTAACTTTAAAAACACCAAAGTTATATTATTTTCGATCAATCAGTTATATGGCAGCTATAGGATATAGTCGGCCGATCCGGGCCGTTCCGACTTATATACTGCGTGCAAAGGAAAGAAGGGTGTGTGCAAAGTTTCAAGACGATAGCTTTAAAACTGAGAGACTAGTTTGCGTAGAAACAGACAGACGGACAGACGGACAGACGGACATGCTCATATCAACTCAGGAGGTGGTCCTGATCAAGAATATATATACTTTATAGGGTCGGAGATGTCTCCTTCACTGCGTTGCACACTTTTGACCAAAATTATAATACCCTCTGCAAGGGTATAAAAAATACCAAAAAAAAAACCAAAAAAATACTAAAATTTACAAAATAAAACCCAAAAAAAATTACCAAAAATATATATAAAAAAAATTCAAAATAAAAAAACCATAAAAAAAATGACAAAAAAAATACCAAAAAAATATAAAAAAATACCAAAAAATAACAAAAAAAAAATACCAAAAAAAATTTACCAAAAAAAAATTCCAAAACAATGCCAAAATTTACCAAAAAAATAATACCAAAAAATGCCATAAAAACAACAAAAAACAAAATACCAAAAAAATACAAAAAAAAAACCAAGAAAATACACAAAAAAATATACAAAAAAACAAGAAAGGAATGCTAACTTCGGGCGGAGCCGAAGTTTATATACCCTTGCAGTTAAAACCGGATATATATCGCAAACATCGGATATAGTTGTCCGATCCTTATGGGAATAGGAATATATAATCCAATTTATTACAATAAAAAATCTAAAAAAAGTCCCAAACTTCTATCTTCAAAAATACGAAACTTGATATTTCTACCAAATACCATATCCGATCGTTCAGTTATATGGCAGCTATAGGATATAGTCGGCCGATCCTAATGAAATTTGGTAGGTCGGATTAACTGACCAAAAATATAATCTGTACCAAGTTCCAGCTTTCTATCTTCAAAAACACGAAAGTTGGGTCATTTCCGATCGTTCAGTTATATGGCAGCTATAAGATATAGTCGGCCGATCCTTACGAAATTTGGCATGTCGTATTATTTTGCCAAAAATAGCTCTCATGTCAAATTTGAACTCTCTAACTCTAAAAACACCAAAGTTATACCATTTCCGATCAATCAGTTATATGGCAGCTATATGATATAGTCGGCCGATCCGGGCCGTTTCGACTTATATACTGCGTGCAAAGGAAAGAAGGGTGTGTGCAAAGTTTCAAGTCGATAGCTTTAAAACTGAGAGACTAGTTTGCGTAGAAACAGACAGACGGACAGACAGACGGACAGACGGACAGACGGACATGCTCATATCAACTCAGGAGGTGATCCTGATCAAGAATATTGTTGAGAAACGGAATCCATTCTGGCGGCGTTGCCAGTGTTCGGGTTGCCATGGCAATGCAGATCGACGCGTCGTCATGTCTTACTGTTAGTTTTTGCTTCTTTATACACATTCGGGCGCTGCGTCGCTTTTAGTTTTTAAGTTACTTATTCTTCAGCAGTCAATCCGTGAACACACAGCATAGTACATACAGTCCACTTCAATAAAATATTTTGGAAACACAACATCGCACTACGTTTATCATCATAGAAAAGTTTGGTCCTTCAGACCCGGATTGACTGGAAGAATAATTCGCTTGGTATTGCCTTAAATGGAGGAATACAAACTACTGGTTGCGGGCCGCCGCAGACTCAAGAGTACGATCACGAGGATCGTGTCCTTAGCTGAGCGTTTACCTGCAACTCAATCAAAGGATGGAATCGAAGTTTTGCTGGAACGATTAGATTTTGCATGGAGCGAATTCGAAAAGCTTGGAGATGCATTATCCGTTCATGATCAGGTCGATGGGTACGTAGATCCAGCCGACGACAACGCAGAATACGAAGCAAGGTACCTGAGGGCAAGGGAGTTCCTTGTCTCAGCAAAGCGCTCACTGGAGCCACAAGCACCATCAACAAGTCAATGCAATGACTCAATGGGCAATGGAGTCGCACTTCTCCAGTTGCTACAACAACAACAACAGATGCTGGAACGTATGGCTGTTTCCGACGCAGCAAGTACACCTATTTCAAACAATGGCGTCGTGGACGCAGAACCAATGCACAATGAATTACCGAAAATTCAAATTAAGCGTTTTGCTGGAGACTACAAGGAATGGCCAGCATTTCGAGACATATATGACAGTACCATTCATAAGAAACGACATCTATCAAATACGCAGAAGTTTCATTATTTGAAGTCACTGTTGACCGATGAGGCGGCAAGCCTTATTGCACATTTACCAATAACAGAAAGCGCATACGAAACAGCAGTTTTGCGTTTAAATGAGAGATACGACAGACCACGCCACATTGTTTATTCCCTATTGGAGAAATTCACGAAGCTGCCGGAGACCACAAAGATTGATGTATCGGTCCTACGTAAAGTAACTGATGGAGCAAATGAGATAGTTCGAGCGTTGGACGCGATCGGAGAAAACACACGGGATTGCTGGATCATCTTTTTGATTTTGCAAAAAATGGATGCCGAAACACGCCGTAAATGGATCGAGGACAGCCGCGATCTGAAGTCACCAACAACCAACGATTTGTTTAAGTTCCTGGATACTCGCTGTGAGGAATTTGAACTAAGTCAACGCCAAAGCAATTGGGATGGCAAACCTAAGCAGCAGGAAAAGGCAAAAAGACCTATGCAATACCATGCCAATACCATGTTGGCTGTCGAGAGGGGCACTTACGTCAAAGGCAATATGAACGAGCACCACCTAGCAGGCTCTGCGGACTTCCTGGCGCTGAGTGTTGAGCAACGGCGATCAATGGCAAAGGAAAAATCGTTATGTTTCAACTGTTTGAGATCGGGACATTTTACAAGGCAGTGTGAATCCAAATTCAACTGTAGAACATGCCACGGACGACATCATACGCTACTACATGTACAACAAGCTGCATCCGCGCAAGGCTTTGCAGCAACAACGAACACTTCGCAGGCTACGGTACAGGACGTACCAACTGGAAGGGAGAATCATCGTAATCAGGACGAATCTCAAGCTACATCGGTGACAGTGAGTCACATAGCACGAGCACATGGCTCACAATCGGCTGCATACGGATCAGGCCTTGCAGAAAGTACACACAAACATGGGCGTCGCCAAAGCACGCTACCGACTGCATTGGTATTTGTTCAGAACGCAAATGGAACATATACAAGCTGCCGGCTACTATTGGACAGTGGTTCTGAGTTGTCATACATTTCGGAACGTTGCATTAACGCACTTGGACTTGCACGTTCATCATCTCGAATATTGGTATCGGGAATTTCTTCCATCAAGGCTGAGGCAACCAGAGGAATCACACAGCTGAATCTCAAATCACGATTCACAGACAGCGCACTAAAGATTACTGCACACGTTCTCAGTAAGATCACATCGTCTTTGCAGAGAAACAATATCGAACCATCATCACTCAAGGTGTTCGATGGATTCCTGATGGCGGATACCGACTTCGCAGCCGTGGCTCCGATAGACATTTTATTGGGGAGCGACTACGTTTGGAGCACGCTCACGGGCCAAAAGATGCACGACAACATGGGCAATCTTATTGCCATCTCTTCGATATTTGGATGGGTCATCACATCGGTTGGAGTTAATCCGTCTCCAACAACTACAACGCTATTCTCCACATGCAACATTGATAGTACACTACAACGATTTTGGGAGATAGAAGAAGTCAGCAGCTACGCTCGCAAGGATCCAGACGAAGACACGGTGGAGAAACATTTCCTCGAGACGCACAAAAGGGACAACGATGGAAAGTATATCGTCGAGCTACCATTCAAAACGGCAAACCCGAAGTTTGCAGACACACTCCAAGGAGCACAAGCTCGCTTCATGGCTGTAGAAAAACGGCTACAGCGCAATCCGGATCTACGAGAGAAGTATGTAAAATTCATGCAGGAATACTTAAGTCTTGGTCATATGACCGAAGTTAAACCATTGAGCAACGATTCAGGTAACCTCTTCTATCTGCCCCATCACCCTATAGTTGGACGAAAACTTAGGGTCGTATTCGACGGGTCATTCAAGGACGCAAATGGAGTGGCTCTGAATGACACACTACACGTTGGGCCGAGCATTCAGCGCAACCTTTTTGCTGTTTGTCTCCGCTTCAGAATGTACAGATATGTATTCTCCGCAGACATTGTCAAAATGTTTCGCCAAGTTTGGGTAAGCACCGATCATCAAGGCTACCAAAGAATCCTATGGAGAGAGCATCCATCTGCGCCTTTGAAGCACTACCAGTTACGCACTGTAACTTATGGAACAGCTTGTGCGCCCTATCTGGCTGTAAGGGTATTGGAGCAACTGGCACAGGATTACAGAGACGAATATCCAACTGCATCGAGAATTCTTCTAGAGGATTTCTACGTCGACGATGTACTCACTGGAGCGAACCGCGAAGATGAGCTACTAGCAAATAAGAATGAGCTATTACAACTGATGTCACACGCCAAATTGGACCTTGACAAGTGGGTATCCAATTCATTACTAATATGTAAGCCCGATTCCAGAGACGCTATCAGCACGGGAAACGCACGAGTACAAGATTCGATAAAGGTTCTTGGAATTTACTGGAACCCAACCGACGACACGCTGATGTACCAAACCGGCTTGACATCAAATCCGAGCTGCACTAAAAGGCAAATCCTCTCAGATGTTGCACGTATCTTTGACCCACTTGGCCTACTATCGCCAATTGTGGTACAATTCAAAATCATGTTCCAAAGGCTATGGTTATTGGATCTCGATTGGGATTCGGAGCTTCCACCAAACATTGCCGAACAATGGCTCAAGTGCAGAGCAGATTTCGACACGCTGCGAAAGTTGCAAATACCACGATTTGTCCTTAGCAAGGAGGACTCGATTGAGCTACACGCCTTCTCCGATGCATCGACCAAGGCATATGCTGCTGCTGTTTACTGCAGGTGTCGAAACAAGGACGGAACCTATTCGGTTTCATTGATGGCTGCCAAAACCAGGGTAGCACCACTGAAACAACAATCCTTACCTCGACTAGAGCTGTGTGGAGCGCTGCTGTTAAGTCGCCTGGTACGATCACTCAAGGAAGGACTACGACACAAGGAAGTTCAGGTTATTGCATGGTGCGATTCAACTATTGTTTTATCATGACTATCATATCCACCATCGAAGATGAAAACCTTCGTCGCAAATCGCACTTCGAAAATTCTGGAAACGTTGCCACGACATACCTGGCATCACGTAAGCTAAAGGGAGAACCCCGCCGACTGCGCATCAAGGGGAATGATGACTTCCCAACTACTAGAATTTCACCTGTGGTGGAACGCTCCACCATGGCTGTTCAACGATGACGAGTACACGGCTAAGGTACAAAACTCTGAAACTAGTTTCAATTTTTCAGACCATCATGCACAAGACGAATTAAGGACCACAGCCATGCTCACTCGTGAGAAGATGGACAACTCATTTTCAGCGTTCGACGACCTTGTTGAACGCGTATCATCCTGGCAGAAGCTGGTACATACCGTGGGCTATGTTCTACGCTTTATCCGACGACTGAAGAAGACACGAAACCGAGCGGAGTCAACCACACTGTCTTTTGAGGAGATCAAGGCAGCACGACTTGTATGCCTGAGAAACGCACAGGCGTGCTTTGGAGAAGATCGAATGCTTCTCCAGACGAATCAACCACTGCGAAACAGGTCGCAATTATCAAAGCTTGCACCGTTTATTGGTTCGGATGACCTACTACGAGTTGGCGGGCGCTTGAGACAATCTAAACTACCGGAAGAAGTCAAACACCCGATACTGCTGCCGAAGGCTCACCGCATTACGAAGCTGCTCTTGGAACACGAACACTGGGTAAACTTGCACCCAGGTACATCGGCACTCTTTGTAATAACTCGTCAACGTTATTGGATTATTGGTGCACGAAATCTGATAAGAAAGGTCACTCACAACTGTATCAGATGCTTCCGTCAAAGGCATCATACTACGCACCAACTCATGGCCGATTTGCCAAGTATCCGAATAACACAATCGCTTCCCTTTGTCAACTCTGGATGTGATTACGCTGGACCAATAGTTCTTAAGGATCGAAAGGGTCGCAACGCTAAGAAGTCAAAGGGATACATATGCCTTTTTGTGTGCCTCGTCACTTCGGCACTACATCTGGAACTCGCTACTGACCTTAGCACAGAGGCATTTCTAGCAGCCCTCAGAAGATTCATGTCTCTACGAGGAAAATGTGCACAGATCTACAGTGACAACGGTAGGAACTTTGTCGGAGCAAAGCGAGCACTGGATGAGATGCAACAACTTCTGGCATCTACAAATCACAGAGACCTGGTCTCACAGACTTTGGCAGACGAAGGCATTCACTGGGTTTTCATTCCACCGTATGCACCTCACTGGGGAGGAAAATGGGAGTCCTCCGTTCGATCAGTCAAGCTGCATCTGCGCCGCATCATTGGCAACACTATCCTGACGTTCGAGCAGATGCACACCTTACTAGCTCAAATCAGTGCAGTGGTAAACTCGAGACCATTGTACTATACACCGGACACCGATGTCACATATCTATCTCCAGCACATCTGTTGATAGGCAGATCATTTACAACCATTCCTGAAGGGGACCTGAGCCACATCCCTGAAAATCGACTTGACTACTGGCAAGGCGTTCAAGCACTCTACCAAGGATTCTGGAAGCGCTGGCACCAGGAATACCTTACTACGCTACAACAACGTCCCAAATGGGAAACATCGCAGCCGAATGTGGAATTGGGAACCGTCGTCCTCATCAAGGATTCGAATACTCCACCAGCTTCCTGGCCACTGGCAAAGGTTATCGCAACGTACCCTGGAGCTGACGGTATGGTTAGAGCTGTCAAATTGAAAACTGCCACAGGAGAAGCAACTCGACCCATAACCAAGATTGCTATACTACCTTGTTCAGAAACGATGTTTCAGGGCGGGCCGGGATGTTGAGAAACGGAATCCATTCTGGCGGCGTTGCCAGTGTTCGGGTTGCCATGGCAATGCAGATCGACGCGTCGTCATGTCTTACTGTTAGTTTTTGCTTCTTTATACACATTCGGGCGCTGCGTCGCTTTTAGTTTTTAAGTTACTTATTCTTCAGCAGTCAATCCGTGAACACACAGCATAGTACATACAGTCCACTTCAATAAAATATTTTGGAAACACAACATCGCACTACGTTTATCATCAAATATATATACTTTATAGGGTCGGAGATGTCTCCTTCACTGCGTTGCACACTTTTGGACAAAATTATAATACCCTCTGCAAGGGTATAAAAAATAAGTTTTTCCGGAACAACACCGGAAATTCATAAATATTGAAAATAATATACGGCGTGTTCAAGGCCAGATATCGGGCAATAACAAAAAGTCGGTATCCTGGCAACAACGACAGCCAAAGTCTTTGGCATTTATTACGGCGGGACCAACGTCTGCGGCAGGACCACCGGGTAGAAGAACAACATCAGCGTCAGAAAAACTGCCAGCTACACCATCAGCAGCACCAAGGGCGGATCCTTTTACATCATCTGCAGGAGGAACACGCATCAATAAAAAAAATTTTAAAAACTGTATGGTATGGTAAAAATTAAAAAGACAAAAAAAATATTTACAATTTAAAAAATAATAATAAAAAAAAAAAAATCGAAAAAAAGATATTATTCATCAATTAAATTTAATACAAAAAAATTAAAATTTAAAAAAAAATTAGCCCTCAGCAAAACAAAAATTGAAGAAAACATTAATATTTCATTAAAAATTCACCCAAAAACATAACCAAGGCACTTTTGTGGCCCCTTGCTGGATGTTCAAACATTAGGTTTTACATAACAAATAAAAACTTAAATAACACAGTGGGACAAAAAAAGAAAAATTGAAGGAACTTTTGAAGAGACCTAGTAGGAATTGTTTATTAGGTCGCACATAGTATAAAACCGTGTTTCAAATTTTTCGAGCACCCTCAAAATCTTGATTTTTTTGGAAAAAACGGTTTTTCAGGACTCTTTTGCTTTTAAAAATTCTTAAACGCGTAATTTTAAACCGATTTTAAAAACCGATTTTTTTAAAATTTTTAAAACAAGTCAGTGCAATTTTACTAGCGCTCCGGAGTAAAGGTGTGTAAAAGAAAGGAATAAGCAAAATGGAAGGGCACACTATTGCTCCGGAACGCAAGCATGATTGCACTGACTTGTTTTGGGAAAAGCGTTATAACTTCAACAATTTTCATAATTTTCTAATGAAGTTGGTCTCGTTTTATTCAGAATTAACGAGACAATATTGACATGTATCAAAAATGATACCATTTCTTGGAAGTTGTACCGAAAAAATGGCGTCAAAGTCCGTAAAACACGACAAAAATTCAAAAATGTCAGTTTCTTGTGTAAAAATTGTATCCTTTTTGTTTTAATTAATTAAAGATCTATTTTTTTCAAGAGCTACATTTAACTATTGAAAATCGTAAAAAAATTTTTATATTGTCTTAAAGATACGCCTAAAGGAATTTTTAAGATCAAAAAAGTCCAGAAAAACCGATTATTCTAAATAAATAAAGATTTTTAGGTTGTAAGAAATATTTCAAACACGGTTTTGTACTACATTCGACCTAATAAACAATTCCTACTAGGTCTCTTCAAAAGTTCCAAATCACTGTCGCACTGCGTAATTTTAAAATATTTAAAATATTAAAATTCAAATTAAATAATACTTTCACTAATTATTAATAGAAAAAAATGTATTAACAAAATACAAGAACAAAAATAGATATTATACAGTCCACTAAAAACTATAATCGAAGAAAAGGTTAAAGTAACATCAAATTTATTCAAAAAATTGTAATCAACAACCAGGGACCGTAAATAATGATTGTTTTCGCTATTTTTAAATGAATAAATCAATCACTTCCAATCAACATAGAACAAGCATGACTAGCACGTTTTTATCCTTTAAAGGTACACTATGAATATCCTTGATGATTTTTAATTGTTTTATTTATTCTTCTATTGTTAAACATTATTTTTGAGCAAAAAAAATAAAAATCACAATAATCATTAAGCTTGAGAAAATAAAACTCAAAAATAATGATTACTCGTGATTTTTATTTTTTTCTCTCAAAATAAAACTTACCAAGCAACAAGTTTTATTTGAGAGAAAATCCTTTAAGGATATTGCCATAATTTACCCTATTTCCTTATAAAGGATCAAAAATAATTTTTAGTCTTGATTTAAAAAATTAAAAATCGATAAGTAATCATTAAAAAGTAATTTTTAAGATATTACTATAGATATTACTATTAAGATATATTAATTATTTAGGTCCCTGTCAAAAACACACCAAACTTACACCTCTTTTTGTGGCCCTTTCCAGAATGTTCAAGCATTGAGCAATATTTTATATAGAAATTCCTAAGTAAGAGTTTCAAGGGATCGGACCCATGAAATACTAGTCAAACAGCATAGTTTAAAACCGATCCCCTGCAGCCTACACAAATATGTACTCAAGTGGTGTGCTTATCGCACTTGAGAAAGGGTCGCATAGCAGGTCAGCGGGCAGTACGTTGACAAGTAGTTTTAAATAGATTTAAGATTCTCATGTATCGTACTTATAAGAGAACTTTACCAAATAAAATCAGCTTTCAAAAGGTACTCATTGGAGTAAGACCTTTTATTTGGGGCTCCTCTTAACATGACTATTGTCCATATGAGATAGTTTTTGGAAAAACGTCAAATCTACCAAAACATTTTAATAGCATAGATTTAATAAAACCTCTTTATAATACATATATAAGATTATGCTAAGGAACCAAAATTTAGTTTAGAACAGGCATTTAAGAGAGCTAGCCTAATGTTAGAAGCTCATACTCTAAAACAAAAAATTATTTACGACAAAACTAGTTTAGATTTTGATTTAAAAATAGGAGATCAGGTTTTATTGAAAAATGAAACAGAACATAAACTAGATTTTAAGTATACAAGTCCTTATAAAGTAGAACAAATAGGAGATAGAGATAACATAACAATATCAAATAATAAGAATAAAAAACATCTAGTAATATAGATAGATTAAAACTTTTTATTTAATAATCAATTTTAATTTAATAAATATATCACGTATGGTCATACATATAAAACAAATTATATAAAGATACATATAAAAAATAACTATACACATAAAAATAAGGAAACGCATTAAAAAATAATCATATATAAAATAAACATACATACCTAGAACAACACAAAACAAGAAAGGAAAGCTAACTTCGGGCGGAGCCGAAGTTGATATACCCTTGCAGGTAAAACCGGATATATATCGCAAACATCGGATATAGTTGGCCGATCCTTATGGGAATATGAATATATAATCCAATTTATTACAACACAAAATCTAAAAAAAGTCCCAAACTTCTATCTTTAAACATGCCTTTAAACGTTGCTATTTCTACCAAAAACCATTTCCGATGGTTCAGCTATAAGATATAGTCGGCCGAACGTTATGAAATTTGGTAGGTCGGATTAACTGACCAAAAATATAATCTGTACCAAGTTCCAGCTTTCTATCTTCAAAAACACGAAAGTTGGGTCATTTCCGATCGTTCAGTTATATGGCAGCTATAGAATATAGTCGGCCGATTCTTACAAAATTTTCTTTTGCCAAAAATAGCTCTCATGTAAAATTTGAACTCTCTAACTCTAAAAACACCGAAGTTATACCATTTCCGATCAATCAGTTATATGGCAGCTATATGATATAGTCGGCCGATCCCGGTCGTTCCGACTTATATACTGCATGCAAAGAAGGGTGTGTGCAAAGTTTCAAGACGATAGCTTTAAAACTGAGAGACTAGTTTGCGTAGAAACAGACAGACGGACAGACAGACGGACACACGGACATGCTCATATCAACTCAGGAGGCGATCCTGATCAAGAATATATATACTTTATATTGTCGGAGATGTCTCATTCACTGCGTTGCACACTTTTGACCAAAATTATAATACCCTCTGCAAGGGTATAAAAATAGTAAAAAAAAAACACTCAAAATGTAATCTGAGATGTACACAAAAGAGAGGGAGATGTAATATGCACATATGCATATAGAAATACATCGACCACCCACTGTAACAAGAGTACTTAAAGGGCACACACTGTAGCACTTAGCCGCAGTGTTTACGTAATTTGAAGCCTGGGTCATAAACCTTAAGTGACCGAATTTCCAAACGATCGCTGTGCCTTAGCCGCACGCCGAAACTGCATATGCAGCATAAATGTAATACGAGCAAGCCACTTATATGTGCATAAACCTCCGCTTAAGCGATCACAGCTATATACTTAAGAATATATAACCATCTCTCCGCTGCCGCTGTTGGCAGCGCAGCTACGAGACTTAGACTTCCCGACTCCTAAAAATATTGTAAATGGGAAGAACCTTTTGGGAGCTTGGAGCGGCAACAACGGCTCCTCCAAAATAAAGATCAGTTTATAAATCATGAATGAATCTGACGAAGGACTCCGGAAAAGGTTCATCAACACTGAACATAACGATCAGCTGTGAGGTTCTGAGACTTCCGTACCTTCAACGCCTCAGCGATCAGAATCTGAGGTTCATCCAAGAATATGGAGAAAAAGTGTAAGATACTCGATCGCTCCATGATTCCACTCGGCGCTGTTTTCAGTTGCAACATGCTTCGCATTAATTGTTTTTGGCTTTACATGCTATAGGATTAACAAGGCCAAACGATACGCAGCTCAGCTGAAGAAGGTGATCGCCAGCATCGAGTCGGCCGAGGACGGCCTTGAAACTGAGGGAGGAGTTAACTAAGTTAACCGGACGAGAGTCCAATTCTAAGCGACTGGAATTTTGCTTACCCAGTTTTATGCCAGAAGCTCGTGTCTAGATGGCAAACAAAGCACATTTGCGTCGTATCTGAGAGCCGCCGACTTTGGCCAGCTGTA